CCCCAAAACCCCAAAACCCCAAAACCCCTCAATTGAAGATTATGCAAAATCATATATTTACAAAAAATCTAATATAATTTCAAATGTATAACTTATGTATAATCATTTCTTCTAATTTATCTATCTCTACTTATATTAACTCAAAATTTTCCTCTTTTCCAGATTTTTTTAGTTTAAATGCTTTCAAATCTATTACTCATCTTTTACTTCATAAGTTTATCTTCGGTAGCTTATTCCCTGAATATTTTTTCTTATCACTGCTACTTTAATCTCCTCTTTGATTTTAGATCTAAATCGGCATTAAACTTCCTTTTCTATTTAAAATCTGGATGTTGTTATTATTACTATTCAAACTACTTGTTAACTGAGGTAATTGACTACTCTATTAGACTATAGAATGCATGTTTGTAGAGGCAGACTCAAGACTCTTATTAAGATTAGTTTATTTTCGCTTAAGTCTTAAATATTCGAAACTGCTTTAATAGATCTAATCAATGGACTAACGAATCTATTTTTTCTAATTGAAATACTACTCAAATTGCTAACGATTGGTGGTTTCACCTCCGTTCCACTGATTGTATCGGACAAGATTTAATTATCGTTTTTGAGAGTTATTTGATAAGTGAGATACCACAGTTTGCAAATTAGAGATTTCTGATCTGTTATTTCCATTTTACTCTTCCATGAATATTGAGGAATCTCCATTTTCTTTAAGATATCCTATTGACATATTTAGTTAATCTTGATAATCATGAATCGTACTATGTGGCGTTTGATTAAGGATTGATGTTGATTAAACTTTACTATGAACCTCTGAAATGTAAGGTTTGTCATTACCATTGACACCAGCATTCTATCTAATTGTAGTTCTGTATTTATTGATAGGCTCTAGTTTTTTATGATTTCCAACACCAGCATTAGCATTGGTTTTGCTCAAGTTACTATCAAGTTGATAGATCTTTGTAATTTTTTACAAACTATTGATTTTTAGCTATTAGAGCTAATTGTTATTCATATTATCTTCACTTCTTTTGAGACTATTTGATTCATTTATGCTTTTGTTAATATTTGTATTCGATACTGAATGGTTATCTTCATTAATAGTTTAGAAGTGACTCCTTTCAGAGAGTATTTCCTTTTACTGATATATTTCATTTGGCAACATCTACTAATCTATTAACTTTAGTAGTTGAATTTCTTATCGTCCACTTACTATATTGACTGACTGAGACAAATTAGAAAACTTCCTAGAATCAAAGATGCTTTTAATTGAAGTATTTTGAGTGATGTGTCTTGAATGGTACTAGTTCCTCTCTTGCTTGTCAATTTTTTATATTCGTTGCAAAATCGTCGGCTGAAGTTTTTATATTTAGTCATTATGAATTAGTAGTTATTCAGCCATTCTCATTATTCCCTAGTAACGTAGATTTTCACTAGACAATCGGGGAGTTATAACTTTGAAAGGCTTGATCTTATACATCCATAAATTGTCTCCTTTGTATTTGAGATCATTTTTCTATGGCATTATTTTCTAAGAGAAAATGATTGACTGATTCATCTCAGATTCAAATCTAGTGTTTTTTTTGCTTTTCAATGAAAGCTTTGAGAATTCTTTTATCATTTACTTAGGCTTGTTAAGCATCTCAAGAGATTACTAAATGGAAGAGTATTTTCCAACATCGTTATCTTTTTAACTTGAATTTTTGTAACTGATATTGTCAAATCTAGATTGATCACTAATCCTAACTTAAGAAGTTTATAAGGAAGTGCTTGACTCATCCAATGGCTTTTATGCACGAGGCAGTAAATACTTTCTATTGTATCTATCGTTGAATATTTTTGGAATTACTCTCTCCTGTTCTTTCGATTGCTATTAAACTGGATTAGTGTCTATTCGAAGGGGTGAAATAATTATATTTTTCTGCTTATGCTGTGAGATGGGCGTTTTATCAATTTTGACATTAGGATTAAATTTACTCCTTAAATTGCTATTTTTCGAGGTCTCGTTGTTAGTGTTATTTTTATTGGCAAGGCTAATCTTTTAACTTTAAATCATTTTATCAGTATTTAGGAGCTTTGCTTCCTCCCTTAGATTAATAATGACTTTTTCATTAATTTACTATTCTTCTAATTAACTTTATTTCTTCTTAACTTTAGCTTATCTTCTTAGCTTTCGTTTTAATACATTTATATTGAAGTTTAGACTGCTTTCAATACCATAAGACTAATAAACATCTATAAGTTGTGGAAGTGGAAACTCTTACCCCAGAACTTCTTATATATCACTATTCTTTGCTTTATTTCTCAGAGTTAAGACTTAGCTTGGAGCTTCGTCTTAAGATTACCTAGGATTGGGGGATCAGTTATTTTTGATTTCTGTTTTCTACTGTTGGAGTCTAGGTTTCAGTTCTTTTCTCCTTTTCATTACAATATTTTAATTTAATTCTTATAATATGTCTCATCAAAAGTTATGCTCATTTCCTAAAATATGATGTTTTGCGGGGTTTTGGGGTTTTGGGGTTTTGGGGTTTTGGGGTTTTGGGG